CCTACACAATGTACCTTTAAAGCACAACTTAAGCACCAGAATGTCTTTGAGTAAAATAACTTATCAAACTCCTGTAACCCATAACATTACATAAAACGCGGATGGACTGGTCTCATAAAGCTATAAAGGATAACTTTGCATGGCTATATTTATAGAGGGTAAATAAACAAGGGATATTCTGTGGTTGGACAAACTTTGGCCCCTAGTGTGGCGCCTTATCGGTGAGCCTTGAGTTATCTCAGCATGAAAACAAATAGCTTATCTATTAAACTCCGGGCAACGCACTGTGCAAACACTGCGTCAGAAGAGCACTGTAGGTGGAAGATGTGCCTATCCCACTTGACTGACTGACTGACTGTCAGTATCCCTCCACGGCCGCCATGGGACTGCGAGGATCCAAACAACCAGAAGTCCAAGTTCTCCTCCTGGGCCTGGACAACGCTGGGAAATCCACTCTTCTTTACAAGCTGAAACACAACGCGTGCGTGGGCACCGTGCCCACCATTGGCTTCAACGTGGAAATGTTCGAGGCGAAAAAGAACAGGAAGAACATCGCCTTGACCGTGTGGGACGTCGGTGGTCAGGGGAAGATGCGCGAGTACTGGAAGAGTTTCCACCAGGACGCAGCAGCCGTCGTGTTTGTGGTGGACAGCTCGGACAAGGAGCGTCTGGAGGAGGCGCGGAGGGAGCTGGAGAACACCCTGAGGAGCGAGCAGCTGCGGGGCCGTCCGCTCATCCTGCTCGCCAACAAACAGGACGTGAGCGGCGCGCTGACCGTCACCGAGATCAAGGACTTGTTTAACCTGCGGAGGAGTTGCGCAGCCCGGGATTGGTTCGTCCAGCCGTGTTCCGCGTCGACGGGAGTCGGAGTTGAAGAGGCCTTCAAACGAGTGGTCCAAATGGTCAAACTCCCATCAGACACTGCGGCGATGAAAGAAAATATCAAGGAAACAGTGCACTACCTCAAAGCCAGTACCAGACATTAAGTTTTATTTATATGAAATGTGTTATTTTCCAAAAAAACATTGACAATCTGACAAAATGAATTTGGAAATAAGTTTGTTCTAAATTAAACTGTATTATACCAACAATAAATTATATTTTAAGAGACATTTTGGTTAAGTCTAAATATCTTTGATGCGCAATACACATCCCAGTTGGAGCTATAGAGTCTTGCAAGCTACTTAAGCTACTTAAGAGTGAATGGATTTATTAGAGTAGTTCTTATGATATTATTCTCTGCTTTAAAAACCACCACTGAGTACCACAAACACAGTAAGTTACTGAAGAAATGATGTCACCGCTGTGGAGCATGCATATCATCTTTCAATTATTAAACAGAATTACATTATCTCACACAACCACTGGCATTCACTTTAAACTCCCGGGAAGCA